GGTGAGGATATCTATATGGTCGGACAACCACGGGATTAGTTCCCTGCACCTGTACAATCCTATGGTCACAACTGCGAGAGGGCGGGAGACACTGAGGGGTGCCGAAAACTTATGCAAAGTGGTCAAGGAGTGAATCCATTGCTACTGTTTCAGTGAGGGGCTGGTGAAGGAGGTGCAAAGACGAGTGACCAGAACCTGAAATCCCAGAAAGCACCACATCGGTCCCCTGCCACGTAAAGTGCATTTGCATTGTTTCAAAATTCCACCAAATAGGGCCCAATGTGCGCAACCATTTGACCCCCAATACCAACTCCACTCCTGCTAAAGGGATGACAAAAAAGTTTTCAATGAAGGAGATGGAATCATACTGTAAAAACATGTTCTGGCAGATTCCGGAGCTAGGCATGCGTTCGCCATTAGCTACAACAACATGCAAACCAGTGCGAGGGTGATAGGCAAATGAAGCCGGTGGGCAGTGGCGATATTGATGAAATTATCAGTGCTCCCAGAATCAACCAAGGCAATGATCGGTGAACCAGCAACCATCAAACGAATCTGCATTGTTTGGGAATGGTTTATGCCGGTGATAGCGTGGAGAGAGATTTCTAGTTCCAAGTCCTCCAGAAAATTATCCACGTCATCTTCCTCATCCTCAATAATTCCCAGCATATATAAGTGGCGCTTGCAACGATGGCCCTTAATCCATTTTTCATCACAGTTGTAGCAAAGGCCCAGTTTTTGCCGTTCCAGCATCTCAGCCGGGGAAAGCTTCTTCGGTCGCAGCGGTCAAGACTGTGTGGTATTCTGCCCCAGTGGCTGTTGGTGTACCGTAATGGCGCTGCTCGGTGGAGTTTGTGGTGGGAAAGGCCTCCGGGAGGGAGTAGGACGATGCAGGGTGCCTTTATGAGCATAATCTCGTGCAATATTAATGGCTTCATCAATTTATCAGGTCTCAGTCGTTCAACATCAATGCGTAGGATCTCATCCAAGCCGGCAGTGAATAAGTTTACCTGCTGGGAGTACAAGACATTGTCAGCCCGTGCGAGCAAGAGCTGAAAATCATCAATGAAGTCATCGACAGCCCGACCCTGTTGTTTGAGGTTTGCCAGCTCTCCTAACGGGTTGATGCTCCGGGGTGGTCCGAAGCGGAGGGTGCATGCAGCTTTGAATTGGATCCAAGAAAATTGTTGACCATCTTGCAAGCGACGTTTGTACCATAGTTGGGCACTATCGAACATATAATATGCTGCAGTGGTAACCTTCTCCTGATCAGAATGTGGCGATTTTTCAAAGAACAACTCACTGCGATAAAGCCAAATAAAAGGGTCGCTTTTGCCATCAAAAGTGAGAAACTCAAGTTTGGTGAATCTAGTCGGATGGGTGGAATCAGCTGGCTGTGGTGGTGCAGTTTCTGGAACTTGGGTTCCCAGAGAAAAAGTGACACTGTGGTGAATCTAGTCGGATTGGAGCATAGTCACTGTTTGTATTCTAGGTAAAAACTATATAAAGAAGTTGTATTGGATATGAAGTACTCCATATAACTGAACTCGACCTATTTATAATATTGGTATTACTAATTCAAATCTGTATTGGAGCATAATATTGGTCGCAATGCCCGTACCAATACTAACAATTACAGAGCCAACAGATCGACTTGGCAACAAGGTGACACTAATCTGCCCACTGTTATATGCAAGTTTTGTAACTTTGCAGGACATGAGACGAAAGTTTGCCGCAAGATGGCTAGGTTCCTGAAAGAGCATAACGTCCTCACCACCCAGATGCCACCTACAGCCGAGTCTGCGCAAGTATCTCCACCCTGGATGTTTGACAGCGGTGGATCGCATCACACCACTTCTAGTCTCGAGTCACTGCAGTCAATCTCTAAGTACAATGGACTTGATGAGGTCCGCCTGGGTGACGGTAATTCCCTACATATTTCACATATTGGCCAGTCTGTTATCCCTACTCCATCCTCTGTCCTTACCCTAGAAAATATCTTGCATGTTCCTCAGTTACACACTAACTTGGTTTCTATATCCCAATTGTGCAAGACTAATCGTGTGTATGTGGAATTTTTTGGTTCCCATTTTCTTGTTAAGGATCTTCAAACCGGGACTACGCTACTGAAGGGAGTGAACAATAATGGTGTCTACTATGGACCTGTTGCGTCTCACCCAACAGTACACACTACGCAGTTGTCCTCTTTGTCTCAGTGGCACCAACAGCTTGGCCATCTGTCCAATAAGGTGTTGCAACGCTGTAATGTTCCAGTTTCTATGTTATCTCTGCGAAAATTCTACTGCTCTTCCTGCAATATTCATAAAAGCCATAAGCTGCCTTTTGCCAAAAGTACTCTAGTTAGCACTAAACCTCTACAGTTAGTCTATACTGATGTATGGGGACCTACGGGAAAGTCTATTGATGAGTTTTACTATTATGTAATATTTGTTGACCACTTTTCGAAATACATTTGGTTGTACCCCATGAAACGTAAGTCAGATGTCTTTACAGTATTTACTCAGTTCAAAAAATTAGTGGAAAAATATTTTAGTTTTCCTATTGTCTCTATTTACTCAGATAATGGGGGAGAATTTGTAAAACTTATACCATTCCTGAACACCCATGGTATCTCTCATTTCACCACCCCACCACACACTCCTGAGCATAATGGTGTCGCAGAGCGACGACACAGGCATGTGGTTGAAACCGGTATGGCCCTCCTTCACTCCGCATCCTTGCCGTCTTCGTTCTGGACCTACGCTTTTCAGGCAGCCGTCTATCTCATCAATCGGCTCCCCACACCTATCTTGGGTAATCAGTCTCCAGTTGACATCATGTTTCATCAGTCGCCTAACTATAGTAAGTTACAACCTTTTGGCTGTTTATGTTTCCCATGGTTGCGCCCTTATAACACCAAAAAGCTACAACCGAAGTCGCGTCCATGTGTCTTTCTTGGCTACTCCAACACTCAATCGGGTTATAGATATCTGGATCCCAGTTCCAATCGCATTTATATATCTAGGCATGTTAGGTTTGTGTCTCATGTATTTCCTTATAAAGATTTGCAGGAAGCATCTACCAACTCACCATCTGCTTTACGTGGTTCTGAATCACACAATATTGTGTTCAAATCATCCCCTTTGTCTACACAGGTTGAGAACGTTCCCCCGGCTGCACAAATTATCCCCTTTGTCTACTCCAATCTGCGACAATCTTAGCGCAACATATGTGTGCAAGAACCCAGTGTTCCATTCACGTATGAAGCATCTGGCACTCGATTACTTCTTTGTTCGTGACTTGGTTGCTAATGGTTCGCTGGTGGTTCAGCACATCCCTTCAAAGGATCAGCTTGCTGACTTCCTTACTAAACCCTTGGGTCGCTCCACGTTTCTTCTCTTTCGGTCTAAGATTGGAGTCTCCGATGAGTCCTCCATCTTGCGGGGGCGTATTAAGAACATATGAGGCTCACATTATTTATCTCTCTATTTTAGCTCCTGTTGATTAGCTCTGTAGGTTAAATTAGTTGTTGTAACTATTTCTTTAACTTTCCTCCTTTGTACACTATTTATAGCTGCATGAGCTTACATTAATAAACATTAAGTTCATAAACTCTATAGAAACAACAACTTAACATTAACTTTTGAAACTAAAAATATCAGCCGTGCGATGTATTACCTAAACGCCACCATTAGAATATTATTAATAAAATATTTTTGTTCCATTTTTAATTTACCTTTACTATTTTTTAAAATATGCTTTTACTATTTGATGATGCAAAATATTATTATTGAAATATTTTCTTTCCATTTTTAATTTTCCTTTACTTCTCAAAAAAATAAAAAATAAAAAATCTTTGGACTTCTCAATACTTGCCCACATTGATGGGCAAGCAATTATGTTTGTAAGAGGAGCATTGCTCCTCTTATATAGAGGAGCGAACCCCTCTTTCAAAACTTTTGTCTTTTTTTTTAAAAAAAAATTTAATTTTATTTTGTGCATCGTTTTGTTTGAATTATTATTATTATTATTATTATTATTATTATTATTATTATTATTATTATTATTATTATTATTATTATTATTATTATTATTATTATTATTATTATTATTAACAAATTCACCAAAATTTTAATAAATTCGTCATTTTAACAATTTGTCTTTAATCAAAATATCAAAAATATTATTTAATAACTCTAATTTGCTCCCTAAAAACTAAAACAACACATACATTTTGGGTTAATCTTTCCCTAACCCTACTAATAATAAATAAATAATAAATAATAAATAAATATACTAAAATAAGAACACAAAGCTAAGGTTTCTTAAATAAGAACCTTTTGACTTCTCAATGTAACATTTTCCATTATGTCACCATTAAGTGGTGCAAGTTAATAGGTCATTTATGGCCATAATGTTGTGGTTTGAAACTGAAGTAACGGTTTCCATTACTTAACCTATAATGATGGCACGTAGGTTATATATATGTATGGTCCTCCCACTGCTCCTGTGATTTTGTGACTACACCATCTAGTTGAACAGGAGACCAAGTGGTAGACAAAACACCAGAGTTCCTTACGATTCTTGAAGCAATGTTATAGAGATGGCAACTATGGCTGGAGATGCTCGATCATATGCTTCCGCTATCAATGTTAGATTACATGTATAATACATGTATTGATTTGCATATTTCTAACATTTAGTAGTTCAAAACACCATATTTCTAACATTTGGTTGTGTGGCGCACTTTGTCGGCTGCACTTCGATCACAACGCAAGATAGTTCTAAATGTGACATCCAGTGGTATTGCATCATTATTAATGACTGGAGGGCGCACTGCGCATTCACGATTTGCACTACCGATTATTGTGAATGAGGATTCCACGTGTAATATATCCCAAGGGAGTGATTTAGCTGAACTGATCATCAAATGTAGTTTAATTATTTGGGATGAAGCTCCTATGATGCATAAACACTGTTTTGAAGCATTAGATAGAACGATGCGGGATTTGTTACGATTTACAAATCCATTGTGTCCTAATTTACCATTTGGAGGGAAGACTATTGTACTAGGAGGTGATTTTCGCCAAATATTGTCAGTGATACCAAGGGGTGGTAGACAGGATATTGTTGGTGCTGCTATTAATTTTTCGTATTTGTGGGCTCATTGTACGGTTTTGAGATTGACACAGAATTTGAGATTGCAGAGTGTTGGTACTGATGATTTAAGGCAAGAGTTATCTACTTTTGCTAATTGGATTGCTTCAATCGGTGATGATGAAGCTGGTGGACCAAATGATGGTGACGTAGAGGTTCCCATTCCACATGAGAATTTGTTGCATACAAATGGTGATCCATCCAAGGAATTGTGGAAAGTACATTTCCTATGTTTCGAGAACAACAACATGACGCTGATTATTGAATTGGTCGAGCAATTTTGGCACCAACTCTTGAAGTTGTAGACGAAGTTAATGCGTATATGACCAACTTGAATATTGCCGAGTGTAGGACCTATTTAGTTCTAATTCAGTCTGCCCCACCGAGAGTATCTCTGATGTTGTGGCTGGGTTACACACTCCGGAGTTATTGAACGGGCTAAAATGTTTTGGGTTACCAAACCATTGCTTAACATTGAAGATTGGGTCTCCTGCTATGTTGCGAAATATTGACCCTTCAGCTGGGTTGTGTAATGGTACATGATTAATTATTACAAGATTAGCAGACCACGTTGTTGAAGCAAAGCTCTTATTTGGGAATGCAGCAGGCTCTAAAGTTCTGATCCAGCGTCTGTCCCTAACACCATCTGACAGTAAATTGCCCTTCAAATTTCAAAGGAGGCAGTTCCCGCTTATGCTATCCTATGCAATGACAATAAATAAAAGTCAAGGACAAACACTTTCTACTGTTGGCCTACTTCTGAGAAAACCTGTTTTTGTACATGGCCAACTATATGTTGCATTGTCTAGAGTCAGTTCACCAAGAGGGCTTAATTTACTCATTTGCAATGAAGATGGAAAGTGTGCTTCTTCAACGATAAATGTTGTGTACAAAGAAGTGTTTAATAATTTATAACAACTACATATTATTAAATCTTTGTTATAAATTGCATGATATTTTGGTGATCTTAGTAATTATTTACTATTTTTGCAATCGTATATGTACAATTATGTGTAACTATATACATGTCTGTGTGTGTGTGTGTGTGTATATATATATATATATATATATATATATATATATATATATATATATATATATATATATATATATAATTTAACTATTTATAAATTTCTTTATTTATTTTCATACCGTGCAACGCACGGGTGGACTACTAGTATAATTATAATAACCATGCAGTCACACATTTCATGTATGCATGTATCTGCATGTTATTACTTAATAAATAATCAATCATGTTATAGATCATGAGTTTAAATTTAACGCACTGACCTATGTATTGCTTCTACCGGCATATATGCACCTCATCTATAAATAGAAAGTATAAAATTTATGCTATTAAAGGTTAGAAATTGTTTTTTTTTTTAAGGTTAGAAATTCGTAACCTAGCTCCAATATATCATTTGTTAGATCAAACACATTTTATTATGCCAAAAGTTATAGTTAGTAGTAAGGGTTAATTCCACCAGAGGTCCCTTGTCTTTGGTGGCAATTCCAAATTTAGTCCTAGACTATCGATTTTTCCATTTAACATCGCAGACTATTGTTTTTTGGATCGAGTCTCACCAGCGGCAGTGTGGGAGCTACCTCTCAAAGTGAGGGGGGTTCCTTGTGCGCAGTGAGCAAAGGTCTAGCTTCTGAGGTTCATGTTCAGTTGAGTTACCATGATTTACATCCTCCCAAATGCTCTGTCGAGTTGGGGTTCAACCTTTTGGAAGAATGAATTCCGTTTTCCTTTTCCCGGCCTAATACTTAGCCAATTTGTTTAATTAATTACTCATTAAATTAATGTTTTGCGGATTTGGCATGGCCTGGTGAAGGAGCGTTATGCTGTGCACCATGCATGGTGCGCACAGATGCAAAAAGACGTTGTTTTAACGTCGACTTAAAAAAAATCCATAACTTCATAATTATACATCCAGAATTGCATAACTACACATCCATAAGTTCATAACTATACGTCCAGAATTGCATAACTATACATTCATAACTTCATAACTATAAATCCAGAATTGCATGCATAACTACACATCTATAACTTCATAACTATACATCCAAAATTGCATAACTACACATCCATAACTTCATAACTATAAATCCAGAATTGCATGACTACACATCCATAACTTCATAACTACACATACATAACTTCATACCTATATATCCAGAATTGCATAACTATACATCCATAACTTCATAACTATAAATCCAGAATTACATAACTACACCATGCATAATTACACATCCATAACTTCATAACTATAAATCCAGAATTGTAAAACTACACATCCATAATTTCATAACTAAAAATCCAGAATGAATGAACTAAAAATCTAGAATGAATGAACAATATAATGTTGTTGCTGGGAATCGAAACTAGATTTTTTTAAGTGGGACGCACCATACATGGTGCACACGGATGCACAACATAATTTGACCCTGGTGAATAATGTGGGTTAAATTCCTCACGAAGGTTGGGGTTTAATCAATGCAATCATTATTGCATGGACCATGGTCCACACAATTGTGTGGACCATAAATAAAAAGTATATTTTTAATATATTAATGGTACATTATTTATGTACGTAAGGTACATTTTTTGAAAGTACATTTTTAATATACTAAGGGTGCATTATTTTATATAATGTATCTTCAGTACAAAAATAATGTACCTTCAGTACAAAAATAATATATTTTTAATATATTAAAAATGTACCTGATATTCATGGTCCACACAATTGTGTGGAACATGGTCCATGCAATAATTTGCCTAATCCATGAGTCTTTGATAAAAAATAAATAAGTCAATATATAAAAAAGAAGAATATGAAGAAGATTAAGGGTGTGTTTGGTTGATGGGTTTTGCTTATAGGAATGAGTATGAAAGTGATTGTTATTGTTTGGTTGATAAGTTTTTAGAACACTATTATGAGTTTCGAATACCCCATCAATTGAAAAACTCGTACCCAAATAAAATAAGGGTTGCATTCCCTTGTTCATTCTCAAGCACTACTATTATTAGTAACCATTTTCATTCCACCATACTACCAAACATGTTAAATACTTTCACCAAAACCCATTACCATTACCAAGTATTTGATACCCATTGCGATTCCGATTCCCATATGTTAACCAAACACACCCTAAATCCAAATTTCGGCAATCAGATGAGAGTAAGGGATGGAATTGATAATTTGGAGTATTGAATGGATAATTTGGAGTGTTGGATGGATTTCGAGTATTGAATGGATAATTTGGAGTGTTGGATGGATTTGGAGTATTGAATGGATTTGAAGTGTTGGATGTGTAAGATTTTCCCTTGATAATATATATTATATATTATATATTATATATTATATATTATATATTATATATTATATATTAGGACCTTAATTAAGTGGTGCAAGTTGACTAGGCCAATTTTATGCATTATGACCTATTAAGGTAGCTTGTTTTGGTTTTCTATTAATTTTGAGCACATTTTAGTCTTATGTGTCTCTGAGACTTTAGAACCTATTTTAAACAAGCGGGTCATTAAAGTATGTCCCACCATTTTGATTGATATTTTAATAATAATTATGGCTCCTTATAACATGTTTATTAAGTTTTAATTATTACTAACTACCATATTTTGGTATTCATCGTTGGTAATAATATTAAGTTTTGGGCTATTTCAGTACTAGATCATTTATCGTTCATGTTATAATTCACTTAGGCCATTGAAGTTTGTGAGCCTAATTTGAGTGATTAAGTGCTATAATCATTGTCTTGGCCTGTTTTGAGACATTATATTAAGGATTTAAAGACTTAATTGTTATTTTGGCCATTAAGAATTACAAACTATTATTTAAGTTGATTAATTTTTAATCTATCAATAGTTTTCCAGGGCCTTAATAATAATATTAAGTCTTTAATTTTATGTCAAAAGCAATATAGTTGGTATATTGTCTGTATAATTAATTTGGTTATTACCTTAACTTCAATCTCCCTAAGTATTATAATAGTCATGGTTAATTATTATGTGGTAAATTAAGATTAGTATTTGGCATTCTTTAATTACAATTTTTGCCTTTATTGTATTTATTATTAATTGGCATTATTAATTACTGTTATTAAGTTTAAGGGATAATCTCATTTATTACCTTTCATAATAATTATTATTTCATGGTAATCTGCTATATTTGGTACATTGGCATGATTACCACTTCATTTTACATGACTATTAATGTTGGTAATTAAGTCCTACCAATAAATTTTTAAATGTACCATTGGACGCTGCATCGAGGCTACTGACACCGACAGTGAAGATGTGAGAGTTTTGGAGTTTTTATTCTCTTGTGGATCATCATCGTTGTTAGCGCAATGGGGAGATGCGGTTTGCATTATTAAGGTTAGCCATTAATTATCTTCTAGGGTTATTATTGATAATTAGTGCTACAATTACAGTTAACCGCTAATTTGGACTAGTCACATATTTTATCTTTAGAAAAATGGAAACATTAAAGTGCATTACCATACTTTAATTTGTCATTACTAATGTTAATAGTGATTATAATGTTACTTATTGCTATTAATAATTAATTAATGATAACACTAATATTGTTATGGTATTCAGATATGTATCTTAAACTGTTTCCAAATAAATTTATGTGACAATATTCCAGTCATAAAATAATTTTCTTGACATTAAGATTTTTCGGACTTCAAATTTTATTAAGTTTTCAAAATTTTATCCAAAAACGTTTATAAATTTTAGCGGTTTTAACCATTGTTTTTCCATATTTAGTCTCCTACTTAATGTGATAATATTATTATGGCTATTTATTGCTATTTTGATTATTTGCAATTTTTTCATTAATAATAATAATTTTATCAACTGGGTTATGGAGAGTGATTTTGAATCAATTTAGTAATCTTGGAAAAACATATTTTCTAGGCAATAACTATTGCCATTTATTCCATAGTTCATTTAGTTATTTGAATTATGATTTTAATTCTGATTGTCCATATTTGGTTAAGTATGAATAAATTAATATTTGGTGTAAATTCATATTCTTTAGTTGGTTCATATTCTCTAGATTGTTTTATGCATTCGATCACATTAGGTGCATAATATTAAGTTTAATTATGCAATTAGGGTTTATGAGAATTTGATTTACAAATGATAGCATATCTTTTTGGTTTGATATTGTTTGAAGATCGAGTTAATTCTACTGGAGATCCCTTGTCTTTGGTGGCAATTCCAAATTTAGTCCCATACTATCTTTTTGCCACTTTAAATCTC